TCTTACTGCAAGGAATACATATGCGAAATATGAAAGCCCTAGCACCAACTGTTCAAAAGTTCTGGCCAAGATTAAAATTTTTAAAAGTAGGCCAAACTCCAAGGTCAAAATTGTTGAACCCAAGGGAAGGTCTTGTCAAAAGAAATACAGATCATTTGTGAAATATGAAAGCTCTTTTACTAACATTCAAAAGTTATGGCCAAGAATAAAGTTGTCAAAAGGTCAAGTCAAAGGTCAAAGGCTCAAAATTGCTGGTACCCAATGAAATGTCTTGTCACAGGATATGCACAAGTATAATATAAAAGCACTAGCTCCAACAATTCAAAATTTGTGGCCAAGGATAATTTCTGGGAACAAGGGTTTTTTTGGCAGAAGAGCGTAATTTTCGACCACCTTTTGACCTCTATGGTGAAAATGAAAAGTTCGAAACCTCATTGCATATCTACAGGACACCAGCAACCATCTCTCAAAAGATAAATTGTCTACTAGGTGAAATGTAAGCGGAGTTCAGGGAACCAGGTTTTTGTAGAAAAATATGATTTTTTTATCCATCATGCTTGTCCCAAAAAGGTTAATTGGCTACTGCTCAAAATAAAAGAGAATTTTGAAGAAAAAAGGGGTGACAGATGGACGGACGGACCAGGGTAACAACATTACACCCAAACTCTCTTTAGAAATTGCGGGTATAATCATGGTTGAGATTAATAGTATTTAACGAAAATATGTTTTTGTTTCACATGAGACAATGCAATGAGCACCAGGTTTTTATGCGTCGTTTCGACCCCTAATTGGCTTCCAGGATGAAAATGAAAATTCTGAAACCTTATCGTACATCTATATGACACCAAATATAATCGTCAAAAAGACGATTTGACTACTACGTCAAATGTAAGAGGAGTTGTAGGAACAAGCTCTTATTTTGGAGGAAAAAACATCGTTTTTCGACCCCCATTTGACCCCTAGGGCGAAAATGAAAATTCTTATTTCACATCTATAGGACACCACAAATACAGATTTGGTAATTTAAAATTAACTTGATAAATAATTAAACCACACTTAAATACATGATTTCTGAGAAATTCTTTCAAAATGCTACTTCTAGAGTTTTGGTCAATTTCAATATAACTTGATGCACAATTAGACAACACTACGATACATAATTCTCCTTATTGGTTTTTGATTTGGGTGAACGGGGTTGTCATTGTTACTAAAATAGAAATTTAAGAGAAATTCTTTCAAAGCGCTACTCTTTCTACAGATTTATTTATGACTTGATATGCAATTAGACTACACTTACATAAATGATTCTACATATCTACTATGGTCGTTCAGTAAGTAATGCAAATGGTCGTCAAAAATTGGAAAAGGTATTAAGAAGCAGTTCCTTTATATATGTAATCTTTCAAAGTATTCCTTGATAACCTTTACATATGTCACAAGTCTCTTTACCTGTATCCAGAACAACTGAACATACTCTTTTTTGTGGTAACCAAGAGGCCCTGATTGTTAGTACTCCCCACGACTCCTTTAAAATAATAGAGTCTTCCTTTGGTGATATTCTTGAGGGTTTTTTTAAATAAAAAAATGTCACGGTGATTGAGATCTAGCACTTACGGTATATAGCTAAGCTCTGTAAACGTTCCTTTCTTCAAAATATCCTTTACAACTCTATGCCTTTTACGGCAACGTTGTCAGCTACAAGAAAATCACCATGGGTACCGGTATTTAAACTTTTCGAACAGAAAACATTATTATCATTCATCAATACAATTTTAACATAAATCTACCATTCATGGTCCTTCCTTTGGATGTAATGTTGGTAGATGTATTTCTGGATCTCTTGAGTAAAACAAGAACTATGGCTTCTCTTTGCAATAATAAGATGACAGCTTCCTATCATTTTCCACATTTTATTATTGACCTTCAATTTGGGCAAGATACAGTGCATCTTTTTTCTTGTAAGTATCTGTAAGGAAATATTGCACTCATTTGACAGAAATATTTTTCATCTCCTTCGTCAGAACTCAATCTCTTGTTGTGAGAGTGAAATGTTTAATCTTAGCAAAGTCTCTCACAGTAAATCTGGTATTTGCTCACAGCATCGATAGTTTTTGGTGTCCCTACAGATCTCAATTGACCAACTGGCGAATTTTTAAGTTCCCCTTTCCAATTTTGAATTTTCTTATCCATCTGAACATCATACTGCGTGAAAGACTAGTCTTTCCAGATATCAAAACGTTATTTTCATCTGGGTTCTTCGGCTATTTTTGCAATTAACAGCAGTTTTCACATAAGCCCTCATTTTCATCATCCGGACAAAGACCTTTAATTTTTTAAACAGTTTTCAGGCTCAGTGAAGTGTCCATGCTTATTTTAAAAGTTGATTTCTTTGCAAAAAGAATAGGAATAAAACATGCGGTTTTCGATATAAGAGATCTTAAATAGAACTTTTCTTTTGTGAAAAAATACATTTATTATGATAAACCGTATTAAAAGACCCTTGTATTTTTGACTTCGATGAACGGGGTTGCCATAGCTACTCAAAATAGAATTTTTCTGTGAATTATTTCAAAATGCTACTTTTCCTGCAGTTTTGATGATTCAAGTGAAACTTTTTACACAAGCAGACACATAACTGTCGTGTTGCCATAAATACTAAAATAGAAAATTGTATGAATTTCTTTCAAAATTCTATAGTTTTGGTCTGATTTCAATGAAACATGGTACACAAGAAGAGACTTCACTAAGATACATGTACATAATCTTGATTTTAACAATTAAACATATATTTTTATGAATTTCTTTCGAAAGGCTACTCCTACTATCATTTTGTCCAATAACAATTATGCTCAAAAAGAGACGAAAGCAACGATTACTATAGTATTATTTTAAATTATTGCTGTTACCATAGTTTCAAGTCCAAGTGCCTCTTTTTTGTTTGTAAAGAAAAAACAAGTAGAGCTACAATCTCATCAAAAAGATCTCTAATTGCACTTTTTCATAGGGACCATATTGGAGAAAAATCGCACTATTTCTTTTAGTACATCATATATTACGTCAGAAATCTAAATACATAATAAAAGAAAAACTGTCGAATAATCTGAAGAATTATAGATAGATTAATTGATTGTTTGTTGTTTTACGTCCCGTTCGAGAATTTTTCACTCATTTTGAGACGTCACCATATACCGGTGAAGGGCTTCATATCTAGACCTTTACTCGGCATTCAGGGCCATTGAGTAGTGAGGTTCTTTATCGTGCTAACATGCCAACACCTACCGTGACAAGGGGCCTCGGTTTTTAAGGTCTCATCCGAAGGACCGGCAACTTTCACTTCAAAGTGCCGAGAACTTGGCGAAGAAACAGTTGCTACCAATTTTTATCGACTTAGGTCAGTTGCGGCCGTGATTCGAACAAACGACCTTCCGATCACGGAGCGAGCGCTCCACCGACTGAGCTACCGTGACGGCACGAAAGGACAAGTGCACTTAAGCAATGCTTCATGGGCCCTTTTTCAGTGACGTTTTACTTTAGAATATATTACCAAATTGTTCTTTTTTTGGTAATAGTTAAACACAAGTGGATATTTCTAATTAAAATTAAGTTAAAACATCACCTAAATCAGCATGGATTTGAAACAAATGAAGATTTTTTAAGCCTATAACTACCCCAAATCTGGAAAAGTCGTACCGATCCTATTTTGAGTTTCATTTATTTAAATCAAGGGGAGGAGACATTTAAATCGGACACTTGAACAATCTGATGGTGGATCATTGACGGGCGCGTTTGCCGATTGATACTTCTTGCGCTTTTTTTACCTGAGAAAAAATGAAGTTGTATAGATGCCTGTAGCAAGAGTGATCAAACTAAGAAATTTGCACGCTTGCATTTGAAATAATACAATAAATATTACCATTAGTTCCTTTAAATTTTAAAATGAAAAACGTGTGTTTAGGTGGCTTTCAATACCGGTACCATTCTTGCATGAATGTTAAAAATGTTTGACGCTTTTATGTATGATGACATTTTAACGACACTAAAGTCTCCTAACCCTCCCGTGTTCCTAAAACCAAATACATACAAACTTACGACTTATATAATGATACAAAATGTGGCTATCTTTTACAGTGAGCACCTTTGAGGAATGTTTACCCGGGTAGAACTCACGTGGCTACCGGTATTTTAAATAATTTATTCCACGGGTGGGTTCAACATAGGTCATACAGGTAAATAGCTGTCGCTTGCTATAGGAAAAACATTCAACTTTTCATACATTTTTAATATTTTAAGTACAAGCCTAATCTTGTACAAATTTCCTACTTTCACACAAGTTTTATAAATGTATAATGCGCTTTTTGTCATTCGCACAAATTTGTACAACGTTAGGCTGACAGTAAACAAAAGCTTTGAAATGATTGACCATCCTCGATTTACCATAGAAAATCACGAATGTCGGCTGACCCTTACCACACTGTATGGTTTTGCTCTTTGTATATTCATGAATTTCGGCGATAAAATTCGTTGAATCTGAGATGAAAAATTAGGCTTAATTTGAATCTTCACATTTTACCGGGGCCCGTAAGTGCACTCGTTCTTTGGAAAATAAATGAGTAAAATGTTGGATTCCGTAATTTTGATTCTCAAATGTTTTGCTGTGCTCCGTACATCACCATCAGACATACAATAACAGCAATATATTGACCAAAATTGGTTTTATCAATACGTTTTACCAAAATTTTACTGGCATCTTTACGAAATATGTTTTTGTAAAATTTCATTCTTATTAGAACTCTGTAAGAGTAAATAATAACAGAATCCGCCTAATATTTGAACGGCCCTTGTTACTTATTTCATTGACAAATCCAGAAAAGACAGGATATTGGTGTCTTACTTTTCTATGGATACACGAGCTAGGTGGTCGTAAAGGGCAACATTTTATCTCTCTATCGTCAAATAAGAAATAAATACAATTTTCAATGTCGAGTAGATATTTTCGATAGGGTTATCCTCGCTTGCAGTGGCTGGAAATTATAAACACTATGGTGGTGTGTTATATGGCGTCAATGAGACTCATATCCGGTTATGGTCAGCCTGTGAAGTGAATGGAAGTCATAAGATTAAAGGTCAGGAAATAGTAAAATTCGCTTACATTTCATTTTCGTTAATCAAAGTATTAAATTTATTAGAAATTACATGATTATGATATACACATGTACTGTGACACACACTATTCATTTTCATGTATAATCACGTTTATAATTTTTTTTTTCGACATGCTTTCACTTCACTCTTAGTTCTTATGCATTATGAAATTATCCGAATTTTTTTCATAGACATGTATATTGCAGTTATGTACATGTATAATTATAAAGTCAATTGCGTCTTTGGACTGGCAATTTCCTTATGATGTACTGTGTGCAATTGATTGGATTGAAATTATCTATTTTCTACCGGATAATTATCTTGATTGAAATATTTCTACCCATTGTCAGGCCTTTGTTTTTATAAATTATTTTAGTACGGATTATGTCTACCTGAGCAATACATAGGCCGCTCACGGCAGATGTGACCGGTCGGCAGAGGATGCTTACTTCTTCTAGGGACTTGATTCCACCCCTGGAATTTCCAGTGGTCCATGTTTATCCCTTGTTCACAGATTTTTATTTTTTGTAATTTTTTTAGATCAATCACAATTTCTTATTTTCACCTAATTTATTTTAAAAGCTTTAAAATTGATTGAAAATGGTCTTCAAAATGTACTTTGGGTTTTTTGTTTAAAGCTGTACAATTGTGGTCTGTTGCTGACGGATGGGGGAAGGAAGGTTTTAGTAAAGAATCAGCGGGAAATATTACTGTATTCGTTTGGAATTCATCCAGTAATGCACGCCGAATAACCAAAAGACTGAATCTAACATATCTCCAAAATGAAGGCTACAGTATTTCTATGGCAAACTTGGCACCGGAAGAGTTTCTTCTTGTGCAGGTATTCCTGTTAATCTTTAATTCAGAGTTTTCATTCTGAAGACATTTGCTTGATTTAGCATTATGAATAGAATACACGTACTTTGTCATTAAGATATAAAGACATTATTCTGTAGCATACACGTCATATTTTCATAAAACAGGAGCTCTAAATTTTAGAAATGTTAGGATGTCATGCACAAAAAGAAACACCTTACAAAGAAGGAGGTCATGTCTTGAAGAAACAATGTTTTCAGGTTCATGTGCTTGAAGGACCAAACGAGAACTTCCGGTTTGATGGCGTTGGTTCTGTTATGAATGAGAGAGATCCTTATGGAGGACTTGTGTATGGGTACAATGATACAACACTTGGTATCTGGATACCACACCCAACCATGAGAAAGCAGGGGGCAGCTGCAGTCTTCATACTAGGGGAAACATGGGGCTGGGGCTACAGAAGTCAAAGGACAGATGAAGTAGATATAATTATTACATCGGTGATAAAAATTGGTAATTATTAGCAGGAGTTTTACTTTTTGAAGCTAATGGCAAATTTCAAGATGTGGTAGATGATTTATATAAAATATACAGTTCATCAAATATGATAATTGAAAGTTATGGAGAGGACTTATATAGGCAGTACCTGCTGTTCAATCCTATTTTGATTATGCATAATAGAATATTATTTAAATTAAATAATTGAAAGTTTGAAAACCGACTCCCCATCTTAAGTGTTAATATTTTTTTTTTTTGATTCCCTATTACGAAGTTAACTGCATTAAATTTACTTTTGTATTCGAAAAAATGAAAATTCTGTGAAATATAGGATATCCCTTAGTTTCTGGTTGGATACGATTTGTGTATTTTTTATCCCCGAAACTTGGCGAAATTATGTCCAACCACAAACCAATGGGAGATACTTTTATAACGTGTTTTACATAGATGTTCACACAGATGTTCACACATAGATGTTTTACACAGAAAACTTCTTGACGATGTTTTCTGTCCAAGTTTTCTTTGATACCTAAATCAAAGAAAAAAAATTGTAAAATTTATTTCTTATCATTTAATATTTGTCTTTTAGTGATGAGATTCAAGATGAAAACGAATGGCTGTCCAACTTACAGATTAACTTTAACAATATTTGGCCTAAAGTTGCATACGCGGAGTAATATACTTCACGAACAAACAACGTTCACAAACTGTCGCGTCATTGCAAGCTGTTTCTAATTAAAAATGACTTGCCAGGTGTAATATTACATTAAATTATACTTTCATTAAAATAACTTGAATTTCATTCGTTGAGAAACATTTGTTAAAAACACTATTACCCTCTGAATGATGAAACCACGCGCTCCAGCGCGATAAAACTAAGCAACAGTCAACATTGCTTGACGACGGGTGATATGCCAAAATAATATTGACTCTATGCGCACACGCTTAATTTTTATGTGTATTTATAGAAAAGATTCAGTATATAAAACTAATACTGCATGTAGTTAAAGGTAACATTGCAAATTTTCACCCCTTGAAAGCCATTATCACTAGGCTGCGCCTCGATTGACAATGGTTTTCTTGGGGAGAAAATTTTTAATGTTACCCTCAACTACCTGCAGTATATATATACATGTATTGCATTATCCCTCTTAGTATGTGCTCCAAATTTTTCTCGATAAGCTGATTATATAAGTGATATTTTAAAGGTTCGTGAATGTTAAGGGAAGCTACTCCAGATAATCCTGAAAACTTTTGTTTCAGTTAATCACCGAAATTTTGGATTTCGTTTGCGCATCCTTATATTTGAATTTCAAACCTTTTTAAAGATTTTTAATATCATAACCTGTCCATGCATAACATCTGGCAGTAAACAGGGATGGGTAATGGTGATGAGTATTGGTAATTGACAGTACTAATTAATTACAATTTTCGATGTAATTGAAAGTAAAGTATAATTGAGCAAATTTTCAATAACATGTAATAGTAATTAAATTACAAGAAATTCATTTCAAGAAAAGATATGTAATTCACAATTACTCTTCAATTACATTCAATTTCATTGATATTTAATGAATGAAAAATAGCCCCCTTCCCTACATACACACTATTCAACAGAGCTTAACTGTTCTTTTGGACAAAATATTTTGCTTGTTATTTTTTTAAGTATTTACATATTTCGCTTCTTTAGTGAATTGCTGTTTCCTCTTATTCATTTTCATGAAAACTCTAGAATCAAAATAATCTTCCTGTTTTTAATTTACAAATAAAATTAATGATTTTGAACGAGTTGTTTATGAATTGACAGTCAAATTACTAAGTCCAATGACATCTAATTCTTTGTTTGCCATAATTGTTAATGATTGATTGATTGATTGTTATTGTTTAACGCCGAGTCGGCAATATTTCAGCCATATTTCGGCGGTACCATAATTGTTAATAGCTTGTATTCAAAGTGATTAACAGGTGCTAACTAGTGCCCTAAGGTCATGTACATATTGACACTGAACTTTAAGGACTTTAAGGACTTTGGCAAGGTTCCTGACTTTCGTGTAGAATTTTTCAAAAGAACTCCAGAGCAAGTTTAATGGTACTAAACATGTTATATTCTGGAACATTTAACCCACTAAGCCACTCTCCCTTTTTAAGGTTTCGTCAAACAATTTTCTACAATTCTCTATGCATTTTCTACGTAAAATGTTGATTAAAAGGACCTACATAATTTTTCACCTTAAGATTATTCCAAAACCCATTTATTTATTTTTTGCATTATTGTATTCACATTTCCTATGGAATCTAGATAATTTGGCTGAAAATGTAAATATAGAATGAAATATATGGTGATAACGAACAGTATCCAAGCTCAAAAGTCCATAAAACAATACAAAATAGGAGCAGAGCAAACACAGACCTCCAAACAGCAGAGGTGGGATCAGGTGCCATGGAGGAGTGAGCATCCCCTGCCGACCGGTCACACCCGCCGTGTGCTCCTTGTCATGATCGGGAAATAACGGAAAAATCCGTCAACAATTCAGTGTGTAAATAATGGCTTAACAATTAGTATGAAAAACGTCAGTCAGCATTTGACTCAATGATAAATTGTATTTGCTGACAAGGTCATTGTATCGACCATAGAACTTACGAAATGATGACTTTAAACGAGACAGCTGATATTCTTGTCTCATCAACTTATTTGTCAATAATTTACCTCGTTTTAGAAATTGTACATACGTAGAGCATGCTCTTGCGTATCGAATCAGCTGAGAGATATATACCCCGTATGCAGGTGATGAAGGTATATTGCTGCATAAGTAAGGGAAGTTGACGATTGAAAAGTTAAAGTCATCACGTTTATCATAAAGCTTGGTTGTTAGATTACATTAACGTCTTTTTCAAGTAAAATATCCAAATATGAAACAGATGTGTCAGACTCTGTGGTATCTTTTATCTCAAGTTCACCAGGATATATCGTATCGACATAAGAATGGAAATAGCCATTGTGTATTGACAATACGTCGTCGATATATCTAAATGTCGAGTTGAAGGCCACAGCAAGTGTTTTCTTCTTTTCACGTACAAGATTTTGGACAAATTCTGCTTCATATGAATACAAAAAAGGTCTGCTAATAACGGGGCGCAATTGGTACCCATAGAAATTCCAATAGATTGTTGGAAGACCTGGTCTCCAAAAACCACATAGATATTGTCAATCAGAAACTCAAGCATCTTTTTAATGTCAACTTCAGAGTACTTGTGTGTACAATCAGAATGTTTTTTAACAAATAATTTTGCAAATGACCAATGACAAGGTAAGTATATTTACGAGTTCCATTTTTATTGAAAAAGCAGCTGTCAATGATCTCAAAAAGCCTGGACTTTAATTTATGTGGGGAATGGTTGTGTATAAAGTTGAAAAGTCGTAAGTTTTTAAGCTGTTGATTTTGGTAAAATCTTGTGATTTCAAATTTTCCAAAAGTTCCTTGGAATTTTTAAGTATTCACATCTGATTTACACCACTTCTCGAATATATTGTTGCACAGTACTCTTGAAGTTTCTCCTTCACCACTGTTAATATCTTAGTGAGGAGTAAAGATAGAGGCTTGGTTGAACATTTACTGGAACCCGCCATGTATCTTTGTTTGTAAGGATTTTTATGAAGTTTCGGAATCCAATATAAAAATGGTAATTCGAATTCATTTTGGTTGTTTGGAATATTAAAAATATTCAAAACTGACATAGGATTTTGAAGAATTTCTTCCTTAGAAAGGGAACTATGAGTATAAGTTGGATTACCACTTGTAGAATTATATCCAAGTTCCTCTAAAATACATTTAATATAATGAGCCTTACAAACAAAGACAATGTTGTTACCTGCTTTGTCAGCAGGGACCAGTACGTACTGATCATGTAATCTATCTAATTCTTTTTTCACTTCTAGCAAAACCTCCTTCACACGACCTAGGAACTGTTCTCAGCATCTGAATCATCTTTGCCCTTCCCAGTATAGCTACCGTAAATAACGATTTGTTGACTGTTTTGTCTTCTGAACACAATATGCAACAAACCAATCACTACTTTTTAGCTCACCTGAGCCTAAGGCTCAAGTGAGCTTTTTGGTCGAAATTTGTCCGTTGTCTGTCATAAACTTTTCACATTTTCATTTTCTTCTCAAGAACCACTGGGCCAATTTCAACCAAACTTGCCACAAAGTATCCTTGTGTAAGTAAAGGGGATTCAAATTTGTTCAAATGAAGGGTAACACCTTCTTCCAAGGGGAAATAATTATTATTTCGTAAAAAAAAAAGTGCATCATATAAAAATCTTCTCAAGAACCACAGTGCTTGAAAATAAGAAATTTATGTAGAATCATTGTGAGGTAGTGTAGATTCAAATTTATTCAAGTCATGACCCCGAGGGGCAGGGTGGGGCCACAATGGGGGGATCAAAGTTTTACATAGGAATACATAAGAAATCATAAGAATTACATAGGAATGAATAAAAATACATAATAAGAATACATAAGAATTACTTAAGGAATCACTGTCTAGTTAGTAGACTATGCCAGGGCATCAACGATAGTTGGAAACGTGGGATAATTTATGCATAACGGGCTTATCCCACGTTTCCAACTATCGTTGATGTCCCTGGCATGCTCTACTAACTAGACAGTGATTCCTTATATTTCCATTTCATTGTGAAATAAAAATATAAATTTAGATTTTAAAAATGTACACTAATAGATTTAAATTACACGAGGCCTCACATGTCAATTTCAATAGTCCCCGCCCACTGACGTCAAACACAAAGACAGCCGCACGATATTTACATGCATATAATTATTAGGCCTCCTTAGTGTCAGACACAAAGACAGCCGCACGAGAATTACATGCATATTAGGCCTTCTAAGCTCCTGACCTTTCGCTTGGTGAAATTTGCATTCCGTTAGAATAATCAAGAAATCAACTCTCCTTACTTTCAAAGAGTTATCACAGAGAAAACAAATAGAAATGGAAATATATAGGAATAAATAAGAAAATAACATAAGATAACGAAATCTTTAAAAATCTTATTCTCAAGAACAGCAAAGTCATGATTGCTCATATTTATATGGAAGCATCCTCAGGAGGTGTAGATTCAAGTTTGTTCAGAACATGACCACCAGGGGTAGGGTGGGGCCACAATGGGGGATCAGAGTTTTACATAGGAAATAATAAGGAAAAGTTTTAAAAATCTTCTTCTCAAGAACAGCAGAGTCATGATTGGTCATATTCATATGGAAGCATCCTCAGGTAGTGTAGATTTAAGTCTGTTAAAATCCCAGTGATGCGTGCAGAGTTTAACAAATTGAATACACCCGGTGAAACGTAAATATTAAGAATAACAGAGCTTGTGCCCTGTTTACAAAAACAGACGTAATGACGTGATGTAAAGAAGAATGTCGTTGTTATTGAATTCTAAGAATATTCATGCAAGTTCGATTCATTTAATTTGTTTTATTTTTTGAATAAGCATAGAAATTAAAAATGTAAACAATACAACTGTGTCCAGGGTTTGATGAGCATTAATACGCCATATGAAAAGAGGTATTGCACCTTTTGATAAGTCATTATAACGCCTTAAGTGAAAAAGCGAGAAGACGCAATTTTGAAAGGTTTACTAACTTTATTTTGAAAGGTGTAATAATGCATTTTTACTTCGCATTTTTACGCGTTTTGATACGTTATTACCACTTTTTTGCGTTATTATGTCTGTCACTTTGCGTAATGACGCCTTTTTCGCTTTTTATCGTCTTGTGACTTCGTGTTAAAACGCCTTTTATAGTGCCTTTTCACTTTCATTATGCCAGTACATTATCACGCTTTCTCTGCGTTTTTACTCTTTTCACTTAAAGTTACAAAGCCTTTCCGTTTCTTCCCTATAGACTGATTTTAAAATACTTTCAAAGATGGTGATGTTGTGTGTCTGTGAAAGTATTACTATCAATTTTAGGATGTCAATGTCCATGTGCTGTGGTAGGATCTCTTCCTATACAAGCTAATGAGACAGAGAAGCTGGTAAAGAGAATAACAGAGCTGAAAGCCAACTTGACAATTAAAAGAAACGAGACGTCTAGAGCATTAAGAACAAAGATCAGTGTGTACGATTCCCGTCCATCTGCTGAGAGCTTAGGGGCTGTGTTGGGAGCAGGGATTCTAATTTCTTTACTTAGTTTCTTTATAATTAGTGATTTCCCAATATTGTGGTCACAAATCAAAACAAATATCTTTATGATTCGCTGAATGATTAAGTAGAAGATTATATTTGACTAAAACAATGTGTTTTAATTTGAAAGTTGATGCCTTTACACAGTGTGAAACGTAATTTGTAATTGTAGGTGAAAGCTTATTGTAGTGCGGTACATACACATGTATATTTGAGGTAGGTACTGCAATACGAACTCTTAGGCCATCTTTAGAAAATTCTTTGCTTGCCCTTTCTCGACTGACTGGCTAAAAATGACCCGACTCGAAACTTTTTTTAACCTCCAGGAAGCAATTTTTCATGCATTCTGGAAAATAGATTTTAAAAATTCAGCATTAACATTTGAATTTTCTGGGGAGAAAAACTATTTCTCAACTACCTACTGACCCATTTTTTTCATCCCGAGTCGGGAGAGGGCAAACAAACATTATGTTAAAGTTGGCCTTATCTACTTTACATAATTTCTTTAGTGATTTCCAATGAACTATTTTTAAGGCAAATAACCAGGAATTATGTGTAGATCTTTAGTGCGAATTTGAATGAGATGTGAGCATACGTTCCACTATATGAAGGCCATTTGAAAAGTCTGATTTTTGTTGATTGGATATAAAGCGTTTCGGAAGCAACATTTGCAATATCATAAAAATGTCATTTATGTGACGAAATGACCCCTGAAATGGTTAGAATTCAACGTATTGTGTTTACATGTACAGGAAAACCGCTTTTTTACCACTTGTTGGTTTCGGAAGCAGAGCTTCTTTGTGAAGACTTTTCAAAGAAAATAAGCAGAGACCTCGCTATAGACTGAAAATGGTATAGTTATGTGAAACTGATCTATAACAATGAATTGTGTTTACCTGTGTAAAAAAAAGAATGAAATAAAAAGATACATGTAACGACCAGTAATCAATCTCAAAAGTCCACTGAAACAATACAAATTGAAGCAGAGCAAAAACGGACTTCTAAAAACATCCGATGTGGGATTAGGTGCCATTGAGGATTAAGCATCCCCTGTCGACCGGTCATACCCGCCGTGTGATCCATGTCATGATCAGGAAAACGGGAAAAATCCGTACATAATTAATTCAGTGTTTAAATAATTCCCCACTAATTAGTATGAAAAACGTCAGAAAGCATTCGACTTAATTAGATAGATTGTATGTGCTGACAAGGCCATTGTATCTTTTCATATGGCGTATTAAGAACCTGCGAAATGATGACTTTAAACGAAACTGTTGATATCCTTGTTTCATCAACTTGTTTATCAATACCTTGCCTCGTTTAAGAAATTGTTCGTATAAGTGGAACATGCTCTTGTGTAGCGAATCAGCTCTGAGATATAAACCCCATATGCAGGTGATAAGGACATTTTGCTACAAAAGGAAGTGAAGTTGACGATGGAAAAGTTGAAGTCATCACGTTTATCATAAAGTTTTGTTGTAAGTTAACATTCAGGTTTTTTTCTGGGAAATATGAATCAGAGGTGTCAGACTCTGAGGTATCTCTCATTTGAGGTTCACTGGAATATATCGAGTCGACATATAAATGGAAGGAAGTATTGTTAATTGATAATACGTTGTTGATCTTGTCTAAGTGTCGTGATGAGAACCACAGCGTTGTAGCAACAGCTAATGATGAAACGCCGTATGTATAAGGTTGAAATTGCGTATGCAGGTTATCTACCAGAAAAGACAGGTCAAGTTCAAATATAAATTTAAAACTAAATATTACAATTGAAATTTTGGCTGCTTGCGGCGGCATTCGTGGCGATAACGACATATCTAGTTATCATTAGCGGTTGCTACACAGCGTCTCCTTCTTCTCGTATAGATTTTTTTTTAATAAATTCTGTTTCGTATAAATAGAAAAATAGGTCTGCTAATAGCGGGGAGCAATTGGTACACATGGGAAATCCGACAGATTGTGGATCTCCAAAAACTATGTACATTGTAGATATTTTCAAAGACTCAAACATATTTTTAATATCTATTTGTGAGTACAATGAGAATGTATTTTAATAAAATAATTTTGTTTGTTTGTTTGTATGTTGTTTAACGTCCCTCTGGAGAATTTTTCACTCATATGGAGACGCCACCACTTGCTGGTGGAGAGCTGCAAATTTTGTCCTATACTCGGCACTTACGGCCATTGAGCAGTGAGGGATCATTTTCGTGCCAGCACCTACTGCGACACGGGACCTCGGTTTATACGGTCTCATCCGAAAGACCGGTCTCCACGCCCTACAGTCAGTTTGGAACCCGCGACGTAAGGATCAACTCCTTAATCCGTGACTCTAGATCAGACGCTGTAACCACTGCGCCACGCGGGCGACAAATAATTGTGTAAATGCCAATGATTTACGAGTTCAATTTTTATTGAAAAAGCAGCTGTCTACGATGTCAAAAAGCCTGGACTTAAATTCATCTTTGGGAATGGTTTTGTTTGTTTGTTTGTTTGTTTATTGTTTAACGTCCCTCTCGAGAATTTTTCACTCATATGGAGACGCCCGTTGGGAATGATTGTATAAAGTGTTGAAAAGTCGTACATTTTGATGTTATTGATTTTGGTAAACATTTTGTGATCTCAAATTTTCTAAACGTTCCTTGGAATTTTTAAGTATCCACATGATTAACACCACTTCTCAAATATGTTGTTGTTCACTACTCCTGAAGTTTCTCCTTTACTGCTATTAATATTTTAGTGCTGAGTAAAGAAAGAGGCTTGGTAGAACATTTACTGGAACCCGCTTTCGTTTGTATGGATTTTTATGTAGTTTAGGAATCCAGTTAAATTCAGTTTGATTGTTGTGAATATTAAAAATATTTAAAACTGATGATTATGAAGAATTTCCTCCTTAGAAAGGGAACTATGGGTTACACTAACACTTACAGAATTAAATCAAAAGGTCCTCTAAAATACAATTAAATAATCAGCCTTCTAAACAAACTAAAGACAATGTTGTTACCTGCTTTGTCAGCTAGTACCAGTACGTATTGATCGTGTAAACTATCTCATTCTTTTTTTTCATTTCTGAATTATTAAAGACAGATGACCCTTTTAATCAATTAAATAAAAATCATTCTTCAACCAAGAACATGTTTCTACACGCATTTTCAAGCGTAATTTCGACTTCGAAAGTTGTAGCGGTTGGTCATTGGGTTAAAAAAAATATGAGTTCCATAACAAGTTTGCTATCAGTAGCAATTAGCAAACATACTGAGTTACATGAAGTTTGGATATATCTTATAGGACTCCATTTTTGGTTTTCAACGAGGAAATAAGGGACAACCGTAGCAAAATCTTCCTCGAGGTTAAATAATGTGGCTAAATATAATAATAATATTGAAAAATTAATGTTGATGTCTTCTGCATTATCCTCTCTGTCTACCAGTCATTGACACAATTTTTATAACAAGCAATTTTTTTAGAATAACGTGCAGTTTTCTGAAGACTTTTAGACGGCCTAAGAACTATTCAAGAACTCTGATACTTCTGCATATAACATATATGTCTTAGTCAACTTTATCGAAACAGGTATTGATTTCTGCTATCATGGGTACAAGTTACGCAAACGTCTTTTTATGCCCCCGGATCGAAAGATCCCGGGGGTATATTGTTTTTGTCCTGTCTGTCTGTTTGTCTGTTTATCTGTTTGTCTATTTGTCTGTCTGTATGTTGTCAACTTTAACCTTGCCTATTACTTTTGATTGGTTGGAGCTATGACTTTCATATTTCATATGTGTATTCCTTGTGACAAGACCTTTCTTTGGGTTCCATCATATTTGACCTTTTGACCTTGACCTTGGAGTTTGACCCACTTTTGCAAACTTTTATGAGGCTTTAACCATGGCCATAACTTCTGAACAGTTGGTGCTTGGGGTTTCAAACTTCACATGTGTATTCTTTGTGACAAGGCCTTCCTTTGGACACCAACAACTTTGACCTTTTGACCTTGGAGTTTGACCTACTTTTGAAAAACTTTAACCTTGGCCATAACTTTTGAACAGTTGGTGCTTGGGGTTTCAAACTTCACATGTGTATTCCTTGTGACAAGACCTTCCTTTGGATATCAACAACTTTGACCCTTTGACCCTTTGACCTTGACCTTGAAGTTTGACCTACTTTTGAAAAACTTTACCTTGGCCATAACTTTTGAACGGTTAGAGCTAGGGCTTTCATACTTCACATATGTAATTCTTGTGACAAGACCTTCCTTTGGATACCAACCACTTTGACATTTTGACCTTGACCTAGGAGTTTGACCTACTTTTGAAAAACTTTAACCTTGGCCATAACTTTTGAATAGTTGTTGCTAGGGTTTTCATACTTCACATATGTAATTCTTGTGACATCACCTTCCTTTGGATACCAACCACTTTGACCCTTTGACCTTGACCTAGAAGTTTGACCTACTTTGGAAAACTTTAACCTTGGCCATAATTTTTGAATGGTTGGTGCTAGGGCTTTCATATTTCACATATGTAATCCTTGTGATAAGACCTTCCTTTGGATACCAACCACTTTGACCCTTTGACCTTGATATAGGAGTTTGACCTACTTTTGAAAAACTTTAACCTTGGCCATAACTTTTGAATGGTTGGTGCTAGGGCTTTCATACTTCACATATGTAATTCTTGTGACATCACCTTCCTTTGGATACCAACCACTTTGACCCTTTGACCTTGACCTAGAAGTTTGACCTACTTTGGAAAACTTTAACCTTGGCCATAATTTTTGAATGGTTGGTGCTAGGGCTTTCATACTTTAGATATGTAATCCTTGTGACAAGACCTTCCTTTGGATACCAACAACTTTGATCTTAACCTTGATGTTTTACTTACTTTTAAAAAACTCTAACCTTCGCCATAAATTTTGAACAGTTGCAGGTAGGGCTTTCAAATTTAGCATTTTTTATCTTTTAGCCTGAATTTTGACTTGCATTTGACCTTCGCCAGAAGCTGCCATACGGGGGCATCAGTGTTTCACAAACACATCTTGTTTTTCCAACCTTTTTTTCTCAATAAAATGTTCGGTAGAG